ACCTTCGCCATGAATCCAGCACCTTTTCAACCTCGTATTCCTCGTGGTTCTCGATCTCAATACTAGGTAGCAGACATTGCACTCTTCCAGGAAAAGACGACCCTCGATAAGGCTCCAACAGAGAAACATGAAAGATTGGATGTACCTTCATAGAAGCCGATAATTCCAGATGGTATGCCACTGGATTGATTTGCCTCTAGATGATAAATGGTCACAATCTTCGATAGTCTAACTTATCACATGGTCGCTTGGTCTTGATATTCTGTCAAAGAAGCCATGCTTTATCTCCAATTTTGAAAGTAGGTGCTTGATTCCGAAATCTATCTGCAAACGCCTTGTAGGATTCTTGAGCGGATTGTAATTGAAGCTTCAATGTATTTTGAAGCTCTGATAGTTGTTTCGCAAAATCCTTCAGCTGTTGGATTGTTATTTGTTGACGGACTCAATAAATCAAGCTTTAGATAAATCTCGCTCGCGTAGTTTCTCCAAGACCAAACGAACATGCTTTTCATGCTCTTCCTCATTTTTGGAGAATATCAAAATATCATCCAAATAGATGACAACAAAATCGTCTAGGTGCGCTCGGAAAATATCATTCATCATATGTTGAAAGATCGTTGGAGCATTGGTAAGACCAAAGGGCATGACATTATACTCAAATTGGCCATACCTTGTACGGAACACTGTCTTCCACTCATCTCCTTCCTTGATTCGTACGAGGTTGTAAGCTCCCCTTAGATCAATTTTTGTAAAAATCCTTGCACGTCCAAGTTATTCTAAGAGACCAGAAATCAAGGATAACGGATAACGATTCTTCTTTGTTACCTTGTTGAGGCCTCAATAGTCCACGCACATCCGCAACGAGCTATCTTTCTTCTTCACAAATAAGATGGGTGCTCCAACTGACGATTTTGAATGACGGATGAAGTTCTTGGCTAGATTCTCGTCGATGTACTTCCACAACTCCGCCAACTCCGTCTGCAATAGATTGTAGATTGGGCCAAAAGGCGATTATGTTCCTTCCTGCAAGTCTATGGCGCAATCATATGGTCGGTGTTCCGGTAGCATGTCGGCATTCTTCTTTTGAAACACGTATTTAAAATCCTTATATTGCTCAGGTATACTTATTGTCGAGATCTTCTCCCCAGTAGTTGGAGTCGCATAAATGACAAACGGTGTGCCTTCCTTACACGATCTTATAAACGCTCTTGCTCCAATGAATAAGGATTTCTCTATTTGGGGTTTTCTACTAGGTTTGCTCTTGGGTGGTTTTGTGGAAAAGGTCATCTTTCGCAACCTCCAATCTATGGATGGGTTATGCTTTTCCAACTAGGAAAGACCAAGAATAATAGGATTTGATGGGGTTTTAATAATATTGAAAATAATATGACTACTATGGCCCTTAAACATCACTTCTATAGGTTTTGATTCATGGGTGACACTACCAGACAATAAAGGTCGCCCATCTATGACCTCAATGTGAACATGTTTGGATTTTTGTACTAGAGGGATCATATGACACTTTACAAATTCTTCATCTAAGAAACAAGCAGATGCTCCTGAATCTAATAATGCTAAGGTTCTCAGTTTCTGAGGGCCAATAAGCAAAGGGATTGTAAAGCAAAGGGCAGGTTGAACGGAAAGAAAAGAACCTGGTTGTTATTGCGATATTTCACTGTCCAGCTGCACGGTTCCTATTGTGGCTGGGCATCCTCGTTTTCTTGAACAAACGCGCCTTTAGTCCTGACAATATGTCAATTTTGCTTCTTGGGGCAGTTTCCAACTTTGTGGCCTTCTTCACCGCAATACAAGCATAGACCTTCCTCCATACGCCACTTTTTTTCTTCTAGGGTAAGAGATTTGACACGTACCGCATCAATTTGCATGTCTTCTACCTCTGAATGTGAATTCACGCTGCTTGCCGACATAGTTGGGGCGTGGCAAACCGTATGTTGTCTTGAACGTTGATCTTGGCAACATTGGAATAGGCGATTATCGCACTTCATAGCTTGGCTAATAGCTTCGTTGAGCGTTTGTGGATCAGAAAGAGTTAACAGCAAATCCTTCACATCATCCCTTAAACCTTAATAGAATTGACTCATCAACATTTCTTCGTCCCAATTGATGTCGCATGCTAATTGCTTGAAGTTCGATGCATAGACTGATGTAGAGGGCATCCCTTGTTGTAGTGACCGGATCTTTGTTGTAGCCCATCAAACCTTGTCGTGTTCACCAAATGCTTCTGCAAATGCCTCCAAAAAGGTTTCAAAGTTGTTTAGTATGGACGATCGTTTCTCAAACAAAGGAGCAAACCATGATAGAGCTTGCCGTGTAAGTAAGGTTCTAACAAGCCCAACACGTGACTCCTCCGTTGGATAGCATTCGGGCTATAAAACTGTTATCAACCTGATTTGGTTGATGAATCCTCGAAACTTGGAACGCGTACCATCGAACTTGTCCGGAAGGCTAACTCGGGGCTCCTTATGTTGTAGAACCAGTGGTGCTTGTCGAACCTGAGGCAAAGTTGCTTCTCCAAGTGCAGAAGTTTGAGGCTGATGCAACCTAGATTATGCCATCCCAGATGCTCTATCATTATGAAGCCTTGCCATGACTCCTTCAATCTCTGCAGTTCTTTGCGATAACGTAGCGAGGGCATTCATGATAGCATCTAACTTGGACTCCGAACTTTCTATTATACTAATGTCTTGGCCTCCGACCATTCTAAGAGAAGGACAGAAATGACTCTACAAGAAGACAATATTGGTTTAGAGGAGGGTACTCCGCAACCTCTAAAATGCCTTAAGAGCTTCAAGAAAAGGAATAATCCACTCTCTCCAAGAAGAATAAGACTCCAATATTGTAACAAAAGAAGTATTAGTTTATAGAAAGGTAATCCGCAACCTCTAAAATGCTAGTACACTTCCAAGCAAAGGAGTAATCCACACTCTAACGAGGAAAAAACTAACTCTGATATTCGAGGTGAGTGAAGTCTCAACAAACTATCACGGACACAGAAATACTGACTCGAGATCTAACAAGAAGTTCAAGAAGAACTGGCAAGAACTAGATTAATCAGATGAATACAAGAACAACACTAGAGAAGTGAGCTAGAGCTCCAAGAGATGTATTGTCGAGACTGAAGAACTCTTTAGCCTCGATTCGAATATATACTCCTATTTAGGAAGCTTCTCAAGCAACTTCTACCAACTAGGAAGCTTCTAGAAGGTTCTAGAGACTTGCTTCTAGAAGATTCTAGAAACTTGTCTCTAGAAGGTTCTAAGGACTATGTCCCTAATATCTTCTACCAACTAAGAAGCTTCTAGAAGGTTCCAGAGACTTGCTTCTAGAAGGTTCTAGAAACTTGTCTCTAGAAGGTTCTAAGGACTATGTCCCTAACAGAAAGTCAAATCTATATCTATAAAGCTTCTGTATTAGACATTATTAAATTCATAAACTTTTATGTACTTTCACCTAACTTATCTTTATTAGTATCAATATAAATGTTCATTATACCACTTCAATAAGGTCTCAAATGGTAGTTCTTATAAAATTCATTACAATATGTTATTATGTTCAATCTATTTTTTATTATTTTTTTTTCTAATAATTGATTTTTTTTAGTCTTTTCAAAGAATTAATCTATAAATTTTTGTTTGTTGTTAATTAATATGCATAATTTTGATGCATTAATTTCAAAAGATTCTTTACTATTAAAATTATAACTTTGATTGTACTTTTAGTATTTTTAGTATTTTTAGTATTTTTGAAGAAATCAATGTTTATTCTTTTTTTACTATCTGAATATTGTTGTACCATTTGATACAAGCAATTTGGTAGAAATAATGACTTTGAAGAATTTTTTTTTATAAATTATTTAATTGCACCAATATATATATATATATATATATATATATATATATTTAATTCCAAATAATTTTTTAAAATTTCAAAGTTCTTATATGTTAAGGTGTGGTACTTTTAGATTGTACTATATTTTTTGTAACGAAGGTTAATAATGCCATGGTCTTTACATACTATATACATTGAGCATCTCCTTTAAACATAAAAGTTTAGAAAGACTTAACATCATCTATGTTATTTATTTATTTATTTATTTTATTTTTTTAATGTAATGCTCATGTTGATCTTGATCTTTAATTTATTTTTACTAAAAATTATTGTCATTTTTTAGTCATAGTTTTTCTTTGCTTTATCATTGATGAAATCTAGCATTATAATTTAGTTCTTATTAATTTAAGATCACCTTCTCTTTTAACATCTAACATAGACCTATAAAAAGATTTAATTTGGATTGTAGTCAAATAGTTGTTCAATAAGGTAAATCATCTTTAGATATAGCATCAACCACTTTTTAAAAACTACTTGATAACACTTTTTAAAAACTACTTATTAAGTAATAATGAGCAAATTAAAGAATTTTGTGACTATTTTAAACATTTATATTCCAAAAGGATTATTGTTGGCAAAAACAATAGAGTTACAAATATAGATGCTAGCAAAAATAGCTGTGACATTTCTTCTTGCAAACATAGATGGTAGCAAAAATAATTGCAACATTTCTTCTTACTTTTTAACTTGTTATTAAAAAATCAACAATTGAACACACATGCATGTAATTTTATATTTAATTAAATACAATTTGTGCACACATTCTCTATTCTTATATACAAGTATTGGTCAATAAGGCCAAAAAGGGTTTTTTGATAAAAAAATTGCATTATCATTCAAATCAATTCAACATTATCTTCTCAAATTATAGAATGTTTGAATGATAGAATTTTTATTCTAATTCTAAAATTCTTATCCTTTATGTTGTTTGTAGAGGCCATTCAGCCCACTCGATGGCTATTAATAGCATTGTTGGCTAGTATGATTATTTTAGTCGTCTTCTAATTGCAATTACATTTTGATCCTTCAGATAAAAGAGTAGTTGCGAAAAAGAAACTATTACCTATGCATGACTCGTACAAACAGACAAGGAAATAAGTGATCAATTGCAGGGTTACAGAAATGCTTAATTAATTACACTGCCCACCTCCAGGGCAAACCTGGGATACACTAGTTGACTGCATTAGTGGATCAAACTGAGAACTTGATACAAACAATAATTCACTTCAACTAAGATTGGTGCCATGAATGTTGAACAAGAAGTGGTAACGTCGAAATAAATGACTAGGATTCGGCCTTACGAGCAGCTTTACTTGCTCGATGGCTTGTCTGCCAGATGTGATATACCGTTCAGCAACCAAATGAGTAGTACCCCAACAAGAGCTCCGGATAGATGAGCGATGTGGTTGATATTTGATGCTCCCATGAAAGTCCTCCCTGCCAACTGCGTTGAAGCTTGTGCTGCTTCCATCACCTACGCAGTAAATTAGAACCCAAAGAACTATGAGTATTTCGTTCCTTTGGTTAGACTCTATTTTTGTAAAATAAAAGCTACTTACAAAAATAAAACTACATCTATATTTGATGACTTTCGATGTAAGGATCACATTTATATTGTTGGGGCTGTACTTTCAAGCACCCATTCAGATTATGTACAGAAAAGAACTCTTAAGGAGAACTTGATAACCCCCTCTTTATGTCCATCTCCGCTGGCAAAAACCTTGCAAAGAACTGAGTATCCTACACAACTCGAGGAGATTGATTCAGGAGCAGTGTTACATTCAAGGTTTTGAGCAAGAGAAAACAGTACCTTATCCACCACAAACTGTCCCAAAATAAGAACCTCCAGTATCTTGCGCCAATCAAAGCTCAGCTGCAAAGTCATAAAAAACATTTTAGATATTCTGTAATCGTGAATTTCAATGACTTGTATGACCTCTTCTGCTAAAAATGACATGATTCGTGAAATGTTAATTACAATTACACCAAAATTGAAAAATTACATTGCAGTAACTCGAATATACCTTGACAAGCACACTAATAGCGAACAGGCCAAATACAGCCCCGGAGGCGCCCACTGACACTACCGTGCGGGGCAATATCAACCATGAGACCAAATTCGCACCAACACCTGTAAAAATATAAGATAACCAAACTGCAAAGCTTCCTTCTTCTTCCTCCACAAGCTTCCCTGCCAACATTAACACAGAGAGGTAATGTTGTGCCAGGGGAAAAACAGATATCTAACTTAAAGGAAAAAAACCAAAAAGTAAGATTGATTTGCTTTTAAAATTGAAAGTAGAAAATCTCTGAAATCGGAGAATATCCGCTACGAACTGCTCATGTGAAATTATCAGTGACTGGAATCCGACATTCAATCTACAGATCGTACGCTAGATATGTTAGATTGAAAGGTAGACAGTAGAAAGGAAATTGAGATGGAGAGCCATACCAAATATGTACAAGAAGAAGAGGTTGCTGGAAAGGTGGGCCCTGCAAAACTAAGGATGCAGATGTGGGTATACTAGTGACAGTCACATACAACAGCTCTCTGCACCAACCACATGCCCAATATTTCAACTGTGATTGGATTATGTTACTACTGCTGTTGCAATCAAAAAAACGATTCACGGAAATTCAAGTCATAGAGATTCTGTAATGCGAGTAAACATTATGACGAAGAAACTGAGACGCACCAGCTCGCATGAATGAATGTTGATGTGAAAAACTGATACCAGCGTGGGAAGTCGTGATACAGGTATAGAGATCTTACAAAAGGCAACTACATACATCCCAGAATTTTCTTGAGTTAGGCAGTTTCCAAATATTACCCAGTATCAAATTTCTAATAACAGACCCCTCCTAACATAGTAGATACTTCAAAGCAGACCCAAACAAATCACTGAATGACGAGCTCAATGACGCCAGATTTTAAAACACACTCAAGCGGAAGCAGTCACACCTTAAGCCAGTGATCGGCAGCAAATGCCACGAAATTAATTAGCAGAAGGGTAAAAATTCCATTAAAAGAAGCCTTCTTCTTCGGATTCCCAGACGATTCGAGCTCCAATTGTGATATACTCCCTGTCCATTTCTGATACCAATCAGCAAACATGACTGTCCAAGTACATTCCATCATACAGTTGACGTCTGGTTCACATTAAATGCAGCGAAGGGAGGCACATGTGCATCCAAACTCCTTGATTAAACTCCGTATGAGAAAATACCTGAACCGTTGCCCCTAAGGGCTTGTAATTCTGTTCCCGGATCCTTCGCCATGCTTCGAGTACCACGACGGCTAAGCTCAACAGACCCAAACCTCCCGGTATTCAGAGGTGAAGTTTGTCCCTGACACTTCATAGCTTGGTTAATCACGACACATTGATAATTGACATTTAATGGATTTGCAAAAAAGAAACTCTTCGCAGAGTCATACTTAAAAAAGCGCTTCGATGGCAAGACCTAACCCCCAGGTAAGAAAGCGTGATTGCACACCACGACGACCACAACGTAGTACTCTACCTCAAGGCTCAACGAAGAAGATTATGCTCATGAAATCACAGAAACACCGAGACATACCTCGGGGAATGGAACTACAGGCGACGGTGACCTCGGCAGTGACAGTTTCGAGAATTGAGTAGCGCGCTCCGACGCCAAGGATCCATCGGAATTCCCACGTGCTCCTCGATTGAAATGCGCGAGTCCTTGAACCCTCGATGACAATGCCAGGTGCGTGCAGCGCAGCATGCCGGACGCCATAGCAAGCCCCCTCTCCAGCAAAATTTCGCAAACCCCAAAGCCTCTGAGGAAGCCTTGATCTCTCTTCCTACCTGACTGAGGGCCTCCAGCGACGACCATCGACGGACGTGGAGTGCTTCCGCACGACGAATGCCACGAAATGGACGAACGCTTTTCAGGGAGTGACGATGCTTCCAAGGCATCTTCAACGAAATTTGACGGAGCGGATACCCAGTTGGTTCCACACGACTGCCCCTGGATGAATAGTTGCAAGATCATCCAATGAGGCAGACCAAGCTGGGGTATACCTCCTTCGCGAGCTAGTCTAATGATTGAAGAAACATAACTTTGACAAATATATATCAATTCCTTGACAGTTGCAGAAATTAGTCTATTCAACTCACATACCTAAATTTATTACCCAATGTGTTATTTAAGAATGTATTTGTTAAAGTAAGTGAGAAAAAGTAAATATAGAATAAATTACCTTACACATGATATTATCTTAAGTAAGTTGTCAATGGTCAAAGAATTGATTCTTGGTATGTAGAAAAGCCATCTTATGAATAAGAGACGAGGTCAAGAGACAAGGTCAAGAGGATAAATGATCAATTAGGGAATATCTAAATATTAGGTAAGAATATAAAATATATAATATCTTTAAAATAGATAAGTTGGCAAAAAGATCTTAGGAAAATAAAAGATATATTAAAAACATATATTTGTAGTAGATAAGATGCCAATAGATATACTTTTTATATCCTTGGATGGATGTAAATATCAAAGAATGGAAGTTGTTAATAAGGGCAACAACCAACACCTATAAGTAACAGGTGTTCGAAGTAAGAGTCATCTTACTTCATATTCTCTTTGTGTACAACCTTGTTAATGATATGTATTTAGGATTTGAAAGTTATGTTGCTTCAATTGATTGTGGATCTATTCACCTTTGCTTGTGAATTTTGAAGTTCTTTAAAGTCTTTGTTGTTGTAAAAAATAGATTTTATGGTTTTTATTGATGTTAGTATTTGGAATCTTCTAATTCTACTTTTTGCATCTAATTTTTAATGTAATATTTTTCTTATTTATTATTAAGTGCATACATGGAATTAGAAATTATTAGATATCTTAGAATGATGTTTTAGAATACCAATGTTATATTTTTTTACCGAATTATATCATTAGTATACTAACATTGTATTTTTATATGATAAAGTATCTTAAAGTTCTTAAAAGACCTCTAATAGTACTAAGAGATATTTTGTAAGCTTAAAAGTGATTGAAGAGTGAAAAAGCTTATAAAAGTAGTTTATATAATATATGAGATTTGTCAAAAGTCTTAAAAGTGAAGTTGAAAGTGATTTGAGAGTAAAATACTAGTTTATTCAAAAAGAAGGCATTCTAGGTTTTCAAGGCAACAAAACCTTCTTGTTAATTTTGAAAGTTCTATTATTTTTTTTATTTTTTTTATTTATTTTTTTATACACCTCTTCTTTAGACATGGCTTTAAGTGAAGGTGAATACTTGAGAATAATTGAGAAGTTTAGAGGAGATAATTTCTACCATTAGAAAAAAAAAAATGAAGTTCTTGTTAATTTCATTGGATCTTTGGAATATTGTAGATGAAAGTGAAGAGCTTCATAATACCAATGTTAATGAAAAGAAAAAAAAGATTAAATTTTTTGTAAAAAATGTGCTTTTGGATTGATTGCAATCAATCTTGATGATGATAATTTTTTTATATATATAATTACTTATAGTAGATCAAAAAAAACATGAAAGACTCTTTGCAACATCTATGAGAATAGAAACCTTGCCAATATTCTACAGACAAGAAAAAAGTTCTTAATAATAAAGATACAAGTTGAACTTGAACTATAAGAATTATAAGAATCTTATAATTCAACTTGAATTATAAGAACTATAAGAATCTTTATTTAAGTTGTACTATAAAAATATGTAAAGATAAATAAGATTCTTATAGTTCTTATAGTTCAAGTTGACAAAGTAAATTTTTTTGCAAATCAATTCGAAATTATTAATGAGTTAGTTAAAAATTATGATATTGTGATATAATTTCTTTTGAGCCTTATCCATGAATTTACATTGGATTGTGTCATGACAAGACTTATTCATGAACTGATTAAAAAGAAATAAAAGAATCTTCAAAGTAAAGTTTTGATTTTTTTTCAAGAGAAAGTAAAGGTAGTTATTCTAATCAATATGATAATGTAAGAAGCAATATGAGAAATTACTCTATTTGTAAAAAAACCACGTTATTTTATAAAAAATTATTACAAAGCTAAGAAAGAAGACAAAAAGAATGCAAATAATACTCGTAATGATTTAATTAGAGATGATTATGCTTTCATGGCAAGTGAAAGAGCTTCTATAGGTGCCATGTCTAAGTGGATTATGAATTTAGGTACTACTAAGCACATAACAACATACAATTTTATTTGATACTTATGAAAAAATTCTAGCAATAAAAATTTAGTTAGGAGATAATAGTATGGTATAAGCCATTGAAATAGGCTCCATCATGGTGGAGATTGTTGTGAAGAACCAAATAAAGAGGATTAGATTAGAAAAAGTCTTACATGTATCAAAGATGAAGAAGAACCTTTTTTTGATAAGTAAACTTATATCATATGGTTGTAAGATTTAATTTAATATGAATAGGTATTTTGTAAAGATATTAATAGATAAAATATTGTTAAAGGCTCTAGAGATGGAAACTTCTACTTCTTTGAATATCAAAAGTATGAAGTAGCTCTAATCTATGGTAAGTGGCTTTGATCTTGGTAAATTTAGCTACAATACATTGATATGTGCTTGTAAAGGTTATATATAAGGTAAACAATAAAAGGCAATATTTTCAAGTAGAATTACAATATATATAATCAAGTTATTGGAGATTATGCATTTTGATGTTTTAGACAAATAAAGATGCCATCAATTGAAGGAACAAGATATTTTATCACATTTATTGTCAATTTTTCAATGAAGATATGAATTTACATCCTTAAAGCCAAAAATAAATATTTCTCAAGATTTAACAAGTTTAAGATAATCATCAAAAAATAATGTGAATGGAAGATGAAAGTATTATGCATAGACAATGAAAGCGAGTATAAGTCAAAGCATTTTGATGAATTTTTGAAGATTTAAGGTATTTCAAGAGAAACCTCTATTCTTTATATTCCACAAAAAAATGGAGTTGTTAAAAGAGTAAATCAAACCATTATAGAAATATAAGGAGTATGCTTCATGTTCAAAATCTTGTGCATGAGTATTGGATGGAAGCCATGGTAAATATAGTATATATAAGAAATAGATGCCGTTGTCGTGTTGTAACACGAGTATACCGTGAAAATATAAAGAAAGGGGACTTTTATTAATGTTCAGTTACCTCGAATATTGGGAGCAACGACCAATTCCAGTGCAAATACTGAGAGGCCAGGTTCAATCACCCCATTACAGTCAGCCGGGGCATACTGAAATGCTCCGTTCGATTCCAATAACGGGAATCAACAGAAAGAAAAAGGACCAATTCAACAACGGGTGAGCCTGGTTCGAAGAGCCAATTAGATCCAATTTCAAGACATCCAATCCAGGTCCTATTACGGGCCTCTTATCCAATATGAGACCTGACTTGATCGGGCAACTCAATGCGGTCCAATTACGGGAACATCCACATCTTACTATGGGCCTCTTAGCCAATATGAGACCTGAATTGGTCGAGCGACTCAATGTGGACCCGATTACGGGGCTTCAATTTCGTTCCAGGCTATTCCGTCCTTTGTGCCATTCCGATGTCGTATTACGTGCTTTCTTACTTGAAAACGCACTGGGCATCTAGCTGTAGAAGGTAGTATGGAGATTCACTAATATTCAAGCAGTCTATCGGTTTTTGACTATTGAAATATAAACAATTGCAAGAATATACTGTAAATCTATATGGATGTCCTTTGACTGCTCGCCAAAATCCTTTTTGCCCTAGCCGGTAGGTCTCTAGACGTTACAGAGAACTCCAAACAATCCAAACTGCTAAACTTTGATACCGCTTTATACTCATGATCTTGTATCTACTGACTGTCTCGTTAGATTAACCCAATAAATTTTATTCACTCCGCATACTCAATCCTACAGATACCTTTTTAATTCTTCAACATAGATGTAACTCGATTTCACAAAACAGTCAAGAGTAATCACACCCACTTCATTAAAATCCCGATTCACCAGTACAACATTGACTTTAGCAACGATTGCCTCAGTCTTCCCAAAACCCTATGAAGAAAAAAAATCCAATTCTCTGTCTTTTTTTCGTGCCCCAAAGCATGAAGCTCTCTCCCTTTTCAAACTCTAGCCTCTGAATTTCTTCAATCTTCCATCTTGGATCCGAAATTGGCTCCGCCGTCAAAGCTTTCTCCTCCATTTTTACCTTTAAGAGATCCTTTTACCGAAAGGATGTTCCCGGAACAGCACAAAAGACGGAACAACTTGAAACGGAATCGGAGCCCCGTAATCGAGACCACATTGAGTCGTCCAACCAATTCAGATCTCATATTGGGTAAGACGCCCATAGTAAGACCTGGATGTTCCCGCAATTGGGTCAAATTGGTCCTTCGCGTCAGATTAGCTAAGAGGCCCGTAGTAAGACCTGGATTGGATGTCTTGAAATTGGTTCCAATTGGCTCTTCGAACCAGGCTCACCCATCATTGAATTGGTCCTTTCCCTTCCTGCTGACTCCCGTTATTAGAATCGAATGGAACATTTCAGTATGCCCCGGCTGATTGTAACGGGGTGACTGAACCTGGCCTCTCAGTATTTGCACTGGAATTGGTCGTTGCTCCCAATATTCGAGGTAACTGAATATTAATAAAAGTCCTCTTTCTTTATATTTTCACAGTATACTTGTGTTACAACACGACATCCACCCCTCTGAACCTGTGCATCCTCCGGTATGCACCAATTTATCCAATTGCTATTTGATTTAGAATATATTCTCTATGTCTTTATCCAGTTTGTCTTCGTCACCTTCATTATCCAAATCACTTTCAATCTCTTGCTGCGGAATCTCTATACCTTCATTAAGGTCTTCCATATTCATCCCCGCATGTCTTCGTTTAAATATTTTTACTCACTTCTCTGCA